TTCAGGTAGGATAGGAGCTAAGTTGCCCGATAGCGCCAAAGTTCTGATAGGTGTGTTGCACTTTTTTCAAATGTACAGTATCACACTCTTTTTTACATTAAAAAAATGAAACCTTGATAGATGTGATTAAAATAAAAATAGGAAGTAGACCTCTCTTAAGTGTGAAAAGTAAATGCAGCAAATGGGTGAAATCTAAGAAATTCTTACATGAGAATGTGAAGTGTGAATCTGAACAAAACAGAAGCCGAAACGATGACATGAAAATTGAGATCTAACACAAACGTTGCTGGATTAGGACAACTTTGCTCCCACAATGATAACAAATAAAAAAAGGCAATCCAAACTGTCAGCAAACTGCAAAATATTCACATTCATCAGTTAAAGAGTGTTAAATGTAATTGTATTAAGGAGCAAGCAATGATGTTTGCAATACTCATAGTCAATGAGGAAAGCCAACGTTTGCTGCACGGTAAATTATCCCCAATTACATTTAGCAGAGTGGCTCCCTAATTATACATACAAACAAAATAACGCACAGCAACCCTAAAGTAATTCAATCATTTCCTTTGCACATTAGTATCATTCTGGCACAAGAAGCAGCCAAGTTTCCTTTTCACATTTGTGATTCCATTTCACTCAGACAATGAAAAATTTCACTTTGGGAAGCCCCTATGTTTGTTGAATCTCCATCACACGAAAATACTAAGGCTTTCAACCTGCCTTTCTCAATTAAAGAAACCTGGACTACAATTCCCATACTCTTCTGTAATATAAGACATTTGCTGGCACCAATTGGGGAAGGCTAGTTTAAGTAATCGAGACAGACTGATCTCCTTTTTTTTTCAAGAAAGAACAAGGCAAATCTTTATTCTCTTCCATATTACAATTCTAAACTAAGTATACACTTGAAGAGTGATTGAAGCCCTATTTATAACTCATTTGGGAGGAGGAGGAGGGGGGAAATTGCGGCTTTTTAGATGTTGCTAACCTAGAATTTCTAGCAGTCCCTGCCAGCATGACTAATGCTGAGGAAGGCTGGAAGTTGTAGCTCAACAAAATCTGGAGGGCCACATGTCGCAAACCCGTCTTGCAAACTGACTGACATCATTAGGAAAATCTTTAGATACCTGGAAATGGATCGTGCAAAATGCAAAACCTTGATCGTGCAAACTGCAAAAGATAGCAGGAAGATGACACTCTCCACCTATTGCCTTACATTTGGAGTACACACTGGTACTGGTAAAGACAGAATTGTACTGGTAAAGACAGAAAACAGAAACAGGTAACTGGTACTGCTAAAGACAGAAAACAGAAACAGCAAGTCTACCATCAACCGTAAGTCAAACGTATCCTTCTGTCCAACTCGCCAACGGCAGAACTTGCAAAATCTGAACACTCTGAGCCTACTATGCCCTGCTCTGCAACAATTAGGAATCTCAACTACTAGAAACAAAAGTGTCCCAGGTTCAAATGGCACCATGGATGTTAACTCAACAAAGGAGACTTAGGAGAATCTCTATTCTGGGATCCCCACCATAAAACAACAACAATGATCACAGCCTGCCTTTATTGCTTTAAGGACTCTCTATTTGGATGTAAGGAACTTTGATGTGGTTAGGTCTCAGCAGGTGACAACAGATCTATCAGTTTGGAAACCTAAGCTTGGCCATGCCAATCTGGATAGGAAGGCACTAAGAAATCCCAGAACCGTAGACTGGATAAAGAAGTAAATAACAGTAATAATGAAAAATCCTGAAAGGAAGCTAGAGCACATCACTTTCCCATTATTGCCACACATACCCTTTGCATGGTGTGTGTTCATGTAATAATTGAATTCAATTAAAGGGCACATTTACCACTGCAATGTTAACAATGACAATCACAACTCTGTGTATTGTATTTCCAGCTACAAAATACAGCTTCATTTGCATAAGCCATTCACACATTCAGTACAGATTGTGACATTTGCCAAAATACAACCCAGGATAATAATTCCTTCCAGTTGTTGAATTCATTTTTTAAAAAATAAAATAAAAACGGCTATTTCATTAAAAAGAGCTGTTCTCCAAAAGCACATGTACTTGGGAATCGGGGTCTGAAGACAAAATGCAACCTTGAAACAGATGTTAGAAGCTTTCGAGATCCCTGCTGGAGCTAAACCAAGTTCTAATACAAAGAAAAGCGATGGCATTCCTTAACAAAAGCAGCAGAGCTCACAAACCCCCCCCCCACCTTTATTATTATTATTTTTAATAGCAGACCCACTTTTCTCTTCATTTTCTCTCATTCCTGCAAGCAGAACGCCATATCCATCTTTCCAAACTGATTGTATTAACAGAAGAATCATCAAATTGCCTCCTGAAAATGGAACACTTACGAATAAAGGTATTTGGGCAGAGATAATGAACTTCCCAAGAATGATAGAGGATAAATCTGAATATTAAAAGTATTCAGGTCTTGGGGGTGGGGGTGGGGGTGGGTTTGCAAGCCTTCCCAAGCAATCTTAAGACCTCCTTTTATCAAGGAACTTTTATCTCCCGATTCCAAAACTGGACTCCCCTCCCCTCCTTTTTTAATTAGGAAAGCCCATCCTGATCTCTTCCTCCCCCCCCCATCAGGAATTCGGGGAGGGAAATTCCCTGTGCCAGCTGCAGCCATGGGGGAAGCTCTCAGGCAAGGCACCATTAACTGGCCTACTTATCCTGGAAAACACACAAAGAATTCTTTCACGCCACTCGCAGTTTCCGCAACCTCGTCAGAGCAGAGGTATATTTGCTACTCTTGGCTCATCGTAAATTTTTGGCCTGGACATGCTCTGGTGCTTAGCCCTGGCTCCTGCTCTAAGACGGCTCTGCCTCGGGGAAAGGGTTAGTCACACAACCCTACTGCCTCTCTCTTCACCACTGTATAATCTTGCAAAGTCTAGCCCAGCTCAAAACTGACCACTTCTTTGAGGCCCCTGTACCAGAGAAAGGGCCCCAGAGGAATCCACAAAAAATGAAGGAGCAAAGAGATCAGCAAGAACAAAAAGAAAATGATTCCCTGGGGGGAAAAATAATCTTTTAAAAGGAGATGTGCTATTGTTTCCTCTTTCAGCATTCATTTGCTCTTCTTCTTCTTCTTCTACGCCTTTTCCTTTCTTCGGAGGAAGAAAAAAGAGAAAACTGTTGCTCTTCGTGGAATATTATTACCCTGCAAAGTTCGCCTGCCTACAACACCAAAGGATCTGTGGCGCTGCAGAGGAGAATAAGCATTACTAATCTATTCTCCTGGATATCACTGCAGAACCACAAAAAAAAAAAAGTTTGTCCCTGGAGGCAAAATATAGTTCGTAGTCAGACTTCAGCAGCATAATCCATAAATGTTCTCATTTAGAGTTTGCAATAAAATGATCAGCCTATCCCACCTGTTCATTCTTCACACGTGCCCCCGCTCACCCACTATAGCCTTGCAGACAGCCCCAAGGGATTCCAATGGGCAGTGAGCGGCGAATGAAACGACAGAAATGGTCCCAAGGAAAATGAGACAGACAAAAAATGGCCCAAAGAAAGCGCCACTATTATTATTTTTTACGAAACACAAAGACCAGTTTTCAGCTGAAGCTTGGATGTTGCAGTAATCCTTATGAAAACACGATATGTCATTATTCTTTCTCTCCCAGGTGTAGAGACTGTCCAGGTGTCTAGCCCAAATCTCCCCATGATCCAAGTACAACTACAGTCTAGGAGTTCTACCCCCATAGCTCATTTGCTTTACAGCGAGTCTAAGATATCCTCTTTCACTGCTCAAAGAAGTGGGTGCCAGACTGTGAATTGGCAGATCGACAACTGTACCCAAAACCTGCAAGTGTTTAAGTTTAACTTGTTGCACCACAAGCTTCCAAATGGCATTTGACCTACAGCACCAAAGTGAAGGACTTAATCATCATTTTTTTTTAAAAAAAGATAAATATTACGTTTTTGGATTGAAGCATTTTAGGAAGAAAATTACACACATACAGACACATACACACACACACTTGTACAACAAAAGCAACAACAAGCCTCCATGGCTTTGATAGTCCTTTCCCAGAATCCAATTAAATAGCAGCCGTTCACACACAAAAATGCTGCAATATTCCTTCACACCAGTCTTGCATTCAATAATAATGGTCAGTGAGAACTGTAGTACGTAACAAATTGATTAAGAACAAGAATCAATAGAAGTATCAGCCACAACCTTGAATAACTTTATTTTCTAACACTGGAAATTTCACAACTGCAATTTTAAAGCAGCCCATTGCTAATTTTTTAAAACAAAAAACAGCATACTCTTAATATTCAAAAGGGGGAGGGGGTATTTCTCAACTGGCATATAAGAATTTCTAAGCAACTCTTTCATTCAAAAACTGAATTATTCACCTATGCTGACTTAGAATTCTCCTGTGCAAAATGATCATCACAACAATTTGCAATCTCCTCCAAAGCTATAAAATTATTTCTACATTATATTATCCTAGAATGTCATTCAATCTGAAAACATGAAATATAAATTATCTTTGAAACTGACCCCAAAACATGAAGTTGGAGAGGGAAACCACATCTTTTTTTTTTCTCAAATGCAGGTTAAGTTCAAGTTTTCATAAGCTCAAATATCCAACATCTCCTAAGTCCTAAACTAAGACATCACATCCATGATCACGTCACTATTTAGCTTAAATGTGCACAAGAAAACCTTTGTTAACAAAGGCAATTATTTCCAACATATATGACATTTACCCTGTGCCACTGACAATCAAAGCATTCTGTCAAAGCATTTGATGACACTTGTTCCTCTTGCCTTTTACAATTCCTGCTTTATCTTATATTCATCTACAGATACTGGAGAACGGGCACATTTCTGTAGCTGAGCAATCTTCCAATCACCTTAACTTTTTTTTTTTATCTGCACCTCATTCCACCCCACCCCCACCCTCAAATGCATCAGCACCCCCAAAGGCCGGCCAGTTGATTTTCTCATACCTGCAATTTGGAGGTGGATCCAGAGTTATTTCGGCTAGCTCCTTCTGAATTCTGTTGGCAAAATGAGAACAGGCACAAAGCATTTGAGACAGTTGAATAAATCAGGGAATTACACTGCCCTCTACCACCATGCAGTTAAATGCAAGATTGGTTTTGCCTTCTGTATTGCTAACATGGCTGCTTCCTCTTTGTTCTCACAGGCACAACCCAAATCCCAGGACAGAGAAACTTTACAGCTTTTTTCCTGCTCTGTTATGGTAAACAGAGAGAGCATTTACACCTCAGCCTGGCAGGAATCCCTTCAGAGATTTCTGAAAAGTGAGTCTTAGGGAGTTTTCAGCCATTTTTTATAAAGGCTTTTTTTTTTAATTACAAAAAAATCTTATATGCAAATGAAACCAGGAAGGGAGGCAAGGGAAGGGAAAGAGGAAATACAAGCAGATTTCAGAATGACTTTGTACCAATAACTGAAATGAGTTACAGCCAAAAGCAATTACACAGTAAATATTTTTGGCTGGATTTTTTTCCTCTACTTCAGACAGTGAATTTTAACATTTCAGTTCACTTCGTAACTATGCAGTCAAGTGATCAGAGCAAAATCTAGTGATAACTTTAGATGCACGTTTCCCCCTTCCTTTCTTTCCTCTCTCCCAATGTTTGTATGGAAGGTTTGCTAAGTGACCCTGTTCAATAAAACACATACTGATATTATCAGTGATGGATCCAGCCCTGGACAGAAACTATAATATGTCAGTAACTTAAAAAAATTAATCAGTTTTATTATAGTTTAACAAAAAGATACCAAAAGGATGGAGGGTCTCTAACTGATTCCCAAAAGAAAATATTTTAGGGGAAACAAATATTGAAGATTGTAAAATTTTAGGCAAGTTATGCTTTGTTTTAATAGAAAATGCATTATGATATAAACTAGATAAGGTTTAAGTACTTAGACTCGTGCCCTACAATTTACACATGTTATGGAACTAAAAAGTGGGGATAAAATTTCAAAACACCAAATAAAATATTAGGAAAACATTCGGAGTCATTTTCTCCACAACAAACATACTGTACAAATTATTTTGTGACAGCAGCTGGCAAGTTACTTTAAATGCATTAGAAGTTGTTTAAAAAAAAGATTAATGTCCTTTTTTAAAAACAATTTATTGTAACCATTTTATGTCTGATTGTGCTCAATTTAGTACATTATTTTAAATGAGAAATTGGTAAAAGCTAATACTGTTCTCACATAATGCATGCAGAGCTTAAAGTACAATGAAATATTTTAAGATTCCTAATGAAAGTCTACTTTAGATAGCAACATGTTTTACTCACAAACATACTGGCCCACTTAAGTGTTCAAACTACTACTAATTTTAACAAAATAAGTTTAAAATACTTTTAAACGTGTCTGATGTGATTTGACAGATAGACTACTGGATATTGTAATGTGGATTCCTAGGTGAAACAGAGCTTTAGGAAAAGGGATTACTCAGTTACCCCCAAAGAGGCAAGATTCAAGGTTTTTCAAGCTTGCCCAACTCAAATGGCTTTTAAAGAAAATTAAAAGCACATGTGCTTTTTGAAAGCAAAGCTGTGAGAAAGTCTGCATGCAGATGGTGATATTGTTCACTTAGGGACAACCTGTAGAAGGTTCTCAAGTTTTTGAAACTTCCCAGATCAAAGGAAAATCAATAGCTTGCTAGACCACAAAGGTAGGAGACAGCCAAGATAATAGCCCTTCTTGCATTTCAATTACCTACAAATCCCACTCCCCCACCCCATCCACATGAACCTGCATGGGTACTCTAAAGAAACAACCACCACAGAATTCCTGTAATTTGCAAAGCATCCTTTTTTCAGAGTATCCAAAGAAACTCAACTGAAAATAAAACAGCCAATGAAAGGGTCATTATTTCAAGGTGCCCCCCCCCCACAAAACAGCTATAAAAGATGGAAATTTGGTAATGGGCCTCCTTGCCTGAATGAACATGTGTATCAACAAGGTGTCACTCGTGCAAAAATGCACATGGGCCAAGTGGACTAAACCAGAGCCCAGCAGATGGCAAGAGGATCGCCTTCACAAAGTGGGCTTCAGCCCACATCATCACATCTGCTTTCCATAGTAGTAGTTCTCAGATGAAGAACCTGCCTACACAAACTCCCCCCCCCCCCACATTTTCAACCTGGCAACACAAACCTCCCCCCCCAATCTTCAACCTGGCAAATGGGTTGGGTGAACAGATCCCAAAGAAATCTGAGGAAGAGGCCCTGCAGAAACTAGATTCTAACCTTAAAGCCATCTCTTATTACAGGCCTTTTCATCAAAGCGTAAAAGTTTGCCCCTTTGCATTAAGTGCCTTCTCATTAAGCTTCTCTCCTGCTCCTGCTTTTCCTCTAAAGAGGGAGGGAGCAACATTTCAGGTGTTTGGAGTTGTTACCTTTTAGCACTAGTAGATAGTTTAGCAGTAGTTTTGCTGGAGAGTTTGGTATTTTTCTTCTGCTGTGTTGCAGAAGGTTTTCTTTCTTCCTGTTCCTCAGGCTCAGGTGCTGGTGGGTCCCTCTGATCTGCGTCTGAACTACCACTGCTGGTACTTGGGCTTTCATCATCTGACCTTTGTCTATCACTGGACATCTTGGGAAATGTTGGGGGAAGGAGCAAAAGGAAAGGAATGGGACAAAAGAATATCAGTTAACTAAGTGGAGTGCAATCCACTCAATCCGAGTGGAATTACTCCAGGCCCCCTTACAACTCAATGGTTGAACAATTCTTTTTAAAAGTTTCAGTTTCATGATATAGACTAGACCAGAGCAACAGTTACCATAAGTAAGTGAAGGAAGGAAGGAAGGAAGGATCTTTTTTAATATATATATATTCTGTTTTCAAATTTCAATTCATTTTACAGGCTCAGCTCTACAATTTTTCAGATAGTCTATCAATCATTTAATTTTTAAAGGCGAGAGGCAAATTTAGCAAAGTGTTCAAGTATAAGCATTAATAACTCATGACACGCTATAAACATTGCCCCCTTTTTTAAAAAAACAAAAACAAAAAACCTCACAAATGCCCTGTAAATATTTACACTGGAGCAGAAGGAGTCAAGTCAACCATATTCTCCTCCTCCCAATATATTGCCAATAACAATACTTGAGCTGTTCTACACACGGGGAGGCCCCAAACCAAACCAATAAATGACCCCACTCCCTCTCGTCTCCTTGTTATTTAAATAGCAGGAAAGGATTTGCTATTTCAGACTCCCAATGTTTTTTTTTTCTCTCGGTCAGAAATCAGCCAGCTCGGGTTCTGTTGGCACGGCCATCAACAAGAATTACATTTGGTCACTACAGAGTAGGCTGGAAATGGGGGGGTGGAGGGAAAGAGAAAGAGAGAGAGAGAGAGAGAGAGAAAGAAAGAAAGGAGGAGGAGGAGGAAGAAAAAGAAGCATAATTCAAACTGCACCTTCTGGAAAGCTTTCAACGCCACCGAGTCTTGATCAGTTTCTACAAAACAGACCGACATATTTTTTTTTTCCTGCCCCCTCTTAAAAATAAAAAAAATAATAATAATAAAAAAATATCCAGGAAAGATGAATTTGGGGGGTGGGCGGGAGGCGGTTGAATATTTGTATTGTCTAATTAAAAAAAAGGAAGGAGGATGGTCCTCGTCCAAAAATTACAGCAGCAGGGCAGAAAACTGAAGCCTTGCCCTCGTTCTCTCTCTCTCTCTCTCGCTCGCTCTCTCTCTTTCACACACACACACATACAAACACACACACACACACACCCCGTCGTTGTCGTCGGCGTCGCCGTCCCCCCCCCCCCCCCCCCCCCCCCCCCCCCCCCCCCCCCCCCCCCCCCCCCCCCCCCCCCCCGCCGCCCCCTCCTTCTCCTCCTCCTCCCCCTCCCCTCCTCCTCCTCCTCTTGGCTCTGTAGGGAGAGCCGAGCTCCCAGCCAGGAGGTATGGAGAGGCTGTTATGGTAGGAAGCTTTCCACCACGACCAGTGTGGTGTGTGCGCACCAAGTGAGGCGTGAACTCAGTCCGGTTCCTCTGGCTCTCCTGACCACCGCCAGGCAGCGAGCGCTGAAAACAAGAACAAAGCTCCCTCTACCAATCTCTCCTCTTTCGCTGCCCCCCCCCCGCGCGCTCCCCCCTCCTCTCTCCTCCCCCCAACCATGCTCGCCCAGGCTCCTGATGCAGCCACCTAACCCTTTTCTCCTTTACCTTCGCTGGCGTCCTGTCCCGATGTTAGAGCGGAGGGGAGGGATGGAGGGGGGAGGGAAGGGGAGAAAATGTCCTTGGAGGGGATGGAAGCAGCCGGGGGGGAAATAAAGCAGCAGAGGACGCTCTGTGGCCGGGCAGTGTGGAACATTGAGAGTCGGAGCGGGGGGGTGGGGGTGGGGGGAGAGCGAGCGAGCGAGCGAGCGAGAAAGGGGGAGGCGCAGTAGACTCGACGGCCGGAGGGTGGCGCTGCCGAGGCCTCCTCTTTTTTTTCTCCCCTCCTCCAAGCGACTCCCACGGTTGGGGTAGAGGGTAACGTGGACCCGGGGATCGAGTGCTCCCTCTCTTCCCCTCCCTCGAGGAACAGGCCGGATGGAACGAAGGAAGGATCGAACGTGCTACCGCCTCCGCCCCCCCCCCCCCCGTGTGTCGCTACGTTCGCTTTCAGAACCTTGCAGTCAGCAAAGTTCCAAATGGAGGGTGGCGGGGGGGGGGAGGAAGGCAGGGAGGGAGGGGGAGGGCGCTCGCTCCCTACACTGCCTGACAGAGCGCGCCCCCCTGTGGGCTGGGGCGCGCGCACGCGCTCTCTTTACCTTTGCAGGGTGCGTGCTTTTCCCCAGTGGACAAAATGTGCTTGGACGGATCTCAAGTTTTGCACCCTAGGCCTTGCCCGGGCAAGGACTCTTCGGCTATCCCATCGCAACCACTTTTTTTTTTTTTTTTTTTGCCTTCTACACCATGTGTAGCCAGCGGTGGTAGCTAAGAGGGGGCCACGGAGGGGAGACACGGGGATATTGCCGGTGGCAGTAAAGAACGAAATCGTGAATCTGTTGTTGTGAGTTGACAGCTGCCTTGCAGTGGCAATTAAATTGATTTGGGAGGAATTAGCTGTTTCTGGATCTCTCTCGATCTAGCTACCAAATAGGAGTGGGGGATTGATAATCTGAGCCGAGGCCAAAAAAAAAAAAAAAAAGTAGTTCAGGTGGGTTAGTAAATTGCTCAACCTGTTAGAAAACAAGCCTAGCTGCGGTATATGCTGCTGGGCCAGAGTTAGTAGTTACGCTGCTGGGATGTGCCATGAAATAAAGCCAAGCAACTCATTGAAAATGTCAGAGCAATGATACAAATGAGATGTCTTTCATGCTAATGTCAAGTTTGGGAGATATTGATTGGGGAGTTTAGGGATAAACAAAGGTAAGTTTATTGAATCAAACTATTGTCAGGTTTGTGCAATCAGCACAATATTGTGGGGCTAAGCCTAACACCTGCTTCAACGGATCAAGTCTGGCCACTTTTCGACACACAAAGTAATGGTGTACTTTCCAGCTTGGCCCCAAAGCATGTCCCCCAAATTGAAGCAAAAGATGGAAAACCCAAGGGTTTCAACTCATTTGAAAGTGTCTCAGAAAAGCTGTTTCCTACAGTCATATGAGACAGGATGAACTTCAGCTTTTTCTTTAGACTGTAGCAATTCAAAGAAACATGGGGGAAAAATTAGTATATCTCCAGTAATCGGCAGTGAAGATTGAAGAGTGTAGATCTGATAAATATAAGAATAGGTCCATTTTGCTAGGCCAAAGCAAGAGAATCTGCCTAACTCGCCCTACAGAATCTGCCACAACTTTCCTAGGCAGAAGCCTGTTCCTCTTATTTGTTACATTTCGTCCACACCTTTTCATTCAGAAGCCCGAGATGGGATCCATCATGCTCCCTCCCTCCCTCCCTCCTTTTCTGTAGTAAAATGAAAAGGTGGAACACAAATACAATCCAGGCTGACCCAAGCTAAAGAGAAACTCTTGCCTTGACTGAGGCTTCCCCCCTTCCCCCCCCCCCTTTAAAATGAAGACATGTTTGGAAGAAGCAGGAAACTGCAAGGGAAATGAGACTGGCAACATTGCTGATTGTACTTGTAGTTGTAAGACTGCAGATCAGTGTTGGTTGGGAAGGTTAAATATGCAGGTCTCTACTCTGAAGAAGAAAAAATCTTTGAAACGATTGAGCTGGAGGAGAATGCCCATGGCTACTTTTCTCCACGTTCCAGCCCACACGCTCTTCTTTCAGTCTGCCTTGCAGAATGTCTCTTCCAGGTTCTCCACCAAGATCTGGCCCTGAAGTTTCTGGTATTGGATGAAAGACCATCTTCTGTCTTCAGTATCCTTGTTGATGAAAGGCTGCGTCCAATGTGAAGAACGCTCACATGTCATGCACACATATGCCTAATGGCAAGAATAGTTCAGCAATAGAACTACCATGCAAGGAAGCAGTTGCGCTGTTGGACTGGGGGTGGTGGTGAGGGGGGAATGGAAAAGAGCCAGGGACAAATCTCCACTCGACCACAGAATTTCCTGGTAGACCTTGAGCCAGTGGCTCTTCCTGTCTGCCCAATCCTCTTCCCACTGGGCTATTATGGGGAGGCCTCCCTATGTAAGTCTCCTTGAAATCCAGACCAAATGGGAAGAACTTTGAAATAAATACTTTCCTTGCAAGGTGGTGGGATTCTTTACACTGGATATTTACAGACAGGCTGGATACAAATTTGCTGCGATACTTCAGTTTTTCGGATCCTGCCGAGAGCAAAGGGTTGGATTCAATGGCTTAAATAGCCCCTTCCAGCTCTATGGCCCTGTTTTCACAGCATGCTTAATTGGGGTGGGGGGAAGGCAGGGAGATTAAGCGTTGTATGTTAACCCTCTCTTCCCATTAACCTCACAGTAACAAAAGTCCTATACCAGCCCATGAGTTTGGAAAAAAAACATACCGGTAGGTTTTAAATATAATTCAGTTAAAATGTTTCATATTTTAATTTGAGAGGCTGCATCACCTTCTGATTGCAACCCCTTTTAGCTTACATTTAACCAAAGTTGTGGCAGGATCACAAGCACTGAATTGTAAAGTCAGAGTATTGAGAATATGCTGCTTTTCCTGGAACCAGGCACTGGATTAAGGAAATGAGCTAAACTGGGGTAAAACTGGCCTTGATGGTAAAAGGAGATTATTGCAGATTACTTTGACCAAGAATCTTCTTCCTGGTTACCCACAAACCAAAGTATTCCACTACAGAATCAGGGGAAATTGTCATTTTAATTACTAGTCTGTCTCATCCCCATGCAAGAAAGCTTCCCCCCCTTAAGTTCATGCTCCATTCTCTCTCTGTGTGTATCTGTCTGACTTGTATCCTTCCAGATATTATTGAAATACAGCAGTCCCAGCCAGTGTAGCCAATGAGGAATAATGCTTAAACAATGTCTGAAAGACACTATGTTCCTCATTTCAACTGCATACAGTGAAAGCACGCAAGAAGCGGTTGCATATCCTCAGCCAATACAACTGAATGCTCAGTGCGAACTGACACTGCGTATTTATAGGGTTTATAGCCTTATTCAAGTAGTCCTCGCCTTACAACAATTCACTTAGTGAGCATTCGAAGTTAACGGCACTGAAAAAAGTGACTTATGGCCATTTTTCAGACTCACGACCCTTGCAGCATCCCCATGGTCATGTGATGCTTTACATTCGGATCAGTGGTGGGATTCAGCCAGTTTGCACACTTTGGCAGAACCAGTAGCTAATTTTTTGTTGCCCAGGCCCAGAATGGACTTCCACACAGAGAACCGGTTGTTCACATATTTGAATCCCACCACTGATTTCGGATGCTTGATAACTTGACTCACATTTATGATGGTTGCTGTGTCCCTGGGTCATGCGATCCCCTTTTGTTACCTTCTGACAAGCAAAGTCAACGGGGGAAGCCGGATTCACTTACTAATTTAACAACTGCAGTGATTCACTTAACAAATGTGGCAAGGAAAATTGTAAAATGGGGCAAAACTCATTTAACAAATTTCTCACTTAGCAACGTAAATTTTGGTCTCAATTGTGGTCATAAGTTGAAGGCTACCTGTACATGTATAGGCACAGATCCTAATCCACATCAAGCTTCCAACCTGTGGATTAGAATGAGGTAGTAATAGTCATGTATGCTCCATGCTTTGTGAATTCAAAGCTGGTGTATACCATTTCTAAGTAATTTCAGCCATTTACCCTTGCTGGCACTCTAGGCTTTTATTTTGTGACACAGTCCACGCTTAACTGTATCTGTTAAAATCCTAGCAACCGCACACTCACATATGCTAAGCTTGACTAGCTTTAATCTTCTTTGTTGTGTGTATATGGCTTAGCATGTCATATGAACCTAGCTTCTTTGAAAGTTTATAGCTCAATTTATTGTGTGAATCCAGATATGGGAGAAATACAGGAACATGGACAGTTTTATTATTTATTTTGGGTCTAGACACTGCCTGACTCCAA